CACACATCTGTAATTATAAAAACTTAAAACAAAACGGAGCGTACTCTTAATTTTACGCGGGAACAATTCCAAAATCTGCGATTAGAACAGACACGAATACGACATTTTCTTTGTCTGTTTGTATACGACTGATGAATTGATGATAGATGTACATTACAAACATGAAATGCAGTTTCACCACGGACACGACAACCTGATTACGAGTACGAATCAAACAGCGACACTCCACTGTCAAATTTATGTCACCGCTGTCACAGGCATTAATAAACACGCGAGAGCCATCGATCACATTGATCAATTTTTTTTTCGTAAAAAAACAAAATAAAACATTTCTGTGCTTTATGCAATAGCCACCAGGTGGCGCAAGGAACAACCGCTTTTCCATCGACTTATATGTCATGCGTGTCTAGATGGGTTCGAGATGTGTGTTTAGCTGGGTTTCTTTATTTCTTGATTTATTTTGGAGATAATGTATAAATAATTGTATTTAAACATGAATGCAACAGAAAGACATAAAACCAATATAAAACAAACAAAACCTAGAATAATTTAGGTATATACATAAATAAAATGTCAAGCAGGAGTTTGTTTATAGCTTTAATTATGAAGAAAATAAAATATTAACAATAACAAAAATAAAGTAATAAAAATACAAAACTAAAAAGAGCAGCATTTGGCTAAATATAACAGTCATTTATATGCTTTATATCCTGATATGCTGCTGTTTTTATATTCATTTTTATTTCACTTGATGCATTCGTTATTTAATGTTTGAATACTGAAAGAAATTAACAGCAATTTTCCCTTGGCTATATGACACTTAATAGGTAATTCTCCTTTATTTAGGGATGCTGCATATTATTCGGCGATCTTAAAGGAAAGTGTTGTAGCACAGAAGAGCAAGTAATAAAATAGAACCTATATTTTGTTGCACTCAGAAGATATAATAAAGCTCTACATTTAAAAATTCATTTTTACATTTTACCACGTCATATTAAAACATAAACATTTATTTAAGGACATAGAACACATTTTTTACTAGCAGTTTCCCCCAATGCGTTCACGATTTGATTAATAGCATCATATCCAAATACTTTTGTTTTTGTTATATCCAATATTTGTAATTCTTTAAAGGATTTCAGTAGCCTATAGATTATTTTACAGGCAGTCATTTTTTATTTAATTTAAGAGTTTTTGTCAAGTTTAAATGGCGTTTTGTAAGCATGTTAAAAATTTATACAGTTGAAGTCAGAATTATTAGCCGCCTTTTGATTTTTATTGTCATTTTTAAATATTTCCCAAATTATGTTTGACAGAGCAAGGAAATTTTCACAGTATGTCTGATAATATTTTTTCTTCTAGAATAAGTCTTATTTATTTTATTTCGGCTAGAATAAAAGCAGTTTTGAATTTTTTAAAAACTATTTTTGCGGTCAAAATTATTAGCCCCTTTAAGCTATTTTTTTTCGATAGTCAACAGAACAAACCATCGTTATAGATTATCTTGCCTAGTTACCCTAACCTGCCTAGTTTACCTTATTAACCTAGTTAAGCCTTTAAATGTCACTTTAAGCTGTACAGAAGTGTCTTGAAGAATATCTAGTCAAATATTATTTACTGTCATCATGGCAAAGATCAAATAAATCAGTTATTAGTAATAGGTTTTTAAAACTATTATGCATATATATGTGTGTGTATGTGTGTGTGTGAGTGTGTGTGAGTGTGTGTGTGTGTGTGTGTGTGTGTGTAACATTTATTTTTTACTACTAAAATTGAATCTTAAATTAAACCACTTTTTATATAAAAAAAAGTGTACAGATTGATATTTAACAGCATGTGTGATTTGTGCTGTTACCGGTCAGACTGCTGTCAGCGGCCGGACTCCCAATTAAAACAGAGCTGTTAGGGTTTGAGTTGTTTTGCACCAGTCCCAAAACTAACTGCAGATCAGACACGTTCATTCTGGCTGTCAGCTCCCCACTGCGATCTCCAATCTGAGCATTGAACAAACACAAGAAGGAAAAAACGTCAGTGGAATTAGCATTATTGTTATGCTAAGCAGAAAAAAAAAAGCTTCATCTCTTCTGCAGCTCTCTAATGCCCAAGCTTAATGTACTAAACTAGTTCATTTATTAAAGCTGTATTCCAGCTGTATTTTAGTTCTGAATGTAACATTGTAAATGTCTCAATTATAAAGTCAGACCCCCTAGTTTTTCGCGATTCCGCGATAAATGAATCCAACGTAAAATTACAACAACAAAAAAGTCGCAAATTTTTGCGATCTGCAAAATTTTTTGATTAAACACAAAATAATCACAAAAAAGTAAATAATCTCATAAATATCCAATTCCAAACCATATAATCAAAATATATTTCAGTTTGTAATTCATTGTTTTACATAACTTATAGAAATCGCATACGCAGCGCATGTGATGTATTTGAGTGTCTCTCGAAAAATTACATCTAACCTGCGCCCTCACATTTATTACATTACATGGAAGGAATTCTTTTGCAGCCTGTGCAGTAAGGAGACGCGGATGAAGTGCAAGTGATTTACATGTGAAGGCAACGCAAACATTGGAATAGACATCCTGTTGTGCGAATTGGGGATCTTGTGCATTAAACATGCTTCAGACTGCAAAAGAAAGTGGGAAACATCTAACAAGCGGAGCAATGGAGCAGACAAAACAGCAAGCAGCTTTCAATGATGGAGATTGGTTCAAAGATGACGGCCACTGGACATGACTGAATTGAAGGGCATTATTTATGCTTTACATGTATGACCGGTTTTAAGTTGAGCGTTAAATCGATACATTATTTTGTTTCACTTTTTCCCTGCAGTTAACAAGAGAAAGCGCTTCCCTGTCATTGAAGAGATTTACGGCAATCCGTGTTTTAGGTGTATTACACTAGGGGAAGCCCTAACGCATGTCCTGAGTGAAGTACTGTACATGTCAGATGCTCCAGGGAGCGAAAGATCTTGGATAAAAATAAGAGTTATACAACCTTCCTTTCGCTTAATCCCTACTGTTTTAGATTGTGTCATAACAAGATACCAAAATATAGAAGCTTTATTTTTATTTAATTTTATGATTTGTGTCAAATTGCACACCTAACATATATATACATTTATGGAAATTACCACCACAAAATCAGTAATGTTTATCACGCAAAATGTTTTTATTTTTATTTTTAATTCATATTAAGCACAAACTATTTAATGTGAATTAAATATTGTTTGTTTGTTTGTTTATAACCTTCAAAAGTCATCTTTAAAATCTGATCATGCCAAAAAACATTTGATTATTGTTTCTTAGGTGAAAGTGAAAAGAAATAGTTGATAGAAAAAAACTGGCGCCCCCAGAAAATTTTCTTAGGGGTGGCCAAGTAAGGCCACAACAAATCTTGGGATAGCAAACAAAAAAATGATGAATTGTGTATATATTGTGAATAATGATGTTATATTTTTGTTTCTGGTAATAGCAATATTTCAAGAGTAATTAATAGAATTCATTAAAACTTCATTATTTCAATTTATTCTTTGAAATAATTCAGCAAGTACATAAGCAAACCAAATAAAAATCAATATTTAGTTTAAAAACACATCAGGTACGTTATTTTTCACATACATTTATTGTACAACATACACATATGCCATAAAAATGTCTAAAATTAATGAAGATTAATGAATAAAACAAACAAATGAACAAACTGAACAGAAGGCATTACTACACACACACACACACACACACACACACACACACACAGACACACACAATACAGACCCTAATAATATAATTTATCCATGTTTCTTTTTTGAGCCACAATATAATAATACATATTCTTTTTTTTGTATCTATCTATGTGAACCTTTTTGCAAAATACATCCACAAAATCAGATTTTTGGCCCTTTTAAGTCAATCAGCAAAATAATGGAGTTGCTAAATAAACTAGATTCTGAAAAGCTAATTTACAATTTTTTATTTTATTATTATTTTTTTTTGCATTTGTGGTTTTAATCCGATCAGGCAACATTTTTTTTCAAAAATAATAATTTCTTAATAAAAAGTGTACAATCTCAGTGAATCAGCTACATCAGTGGCGCTGATCAATCCACAATAATTTAGTGGCTGCATATTATTTATTAATTCATTTATTGAAATACTGTGAATTTACGCAAGTACATTCCAATTAATAATATCAACAACTAAATCATATTTGGGTGACCACAGGGGTGGCCAGAGCTTACACAAGGGTGCCCGTGGCCACCACTGGCCACCCCTTGAAAAAAGGATATGTGCACTGCGCAGGTCTGAAATGGATAGTTCACCCAAAATTGAAAATGTACAGACTATTTATCTACTTACTACTTCCAATGATTCCAAACTTTTATACATTTCTGTCTTCTGTTGAACACGAAAGAATACACTTTTAAAGAAGCTGAAAACCTGTAACCATTGACTTCTATAATAGGCACGGTTACACGTTTCTAACATTTATTCTAACAGTTAACACTTTTGTGTTCAACAGTAGAAAGAAACTCAAAGGTTTGAAAGCAAAGAGTGAGTAAATAAAGACAAATTTTATTTTTGGGTGAACTAAAAATGCTATAATAAAACTTTAATACCCTTGGTTTCCACCACAGACCTGCATCCCCACTGTCTAATTTGAACAGAGTCGATTAAAATTCACCCCAAACTTTTAATTCTGTCGATATTTGCCCACTCTGATGATGTCCCTAATCTGTATTCATTCATTTCTTGTGCTAAAACCCTTACAAAAAAAATAGAGAATCAATACAGAATCGGCAGAGAAAGAATGGCAAAGCATCGTTTAATAGTTTTTTTTTCTCCCAATCCTAAAGCACCCACACGCACGCACCTCTTTGGAAATCTCCAGATGCTTTTCAGCAAAGCTCATGGCCTGTTCGTGGTTTCCCAAAGCGGTGTAGGCGTTCCCTAAACTCCAGCAGGCTCTTCCTTCACCAATCCTACACAGAC